AAAAGGCCTTTTTAAATTCTCTGGTTTGGACTTTTCTGTTTTCTAAAGCATTAACTGCTTTAGCATCATGCACTGAAGAATGCGTCCAGCAAAGTCTATCTATCAACTGCATGTGACCCATCTGTATGGTGAAACTTTGTACCAATCAGAACCAGACAAGATCAACAGCATTCCTTCTACAGTCTTGTCACCAAATCCAATACACACCTGGTAATAGGCTTTCTTGATTTCTTTCTGGCTGGCACTTCGGGGCACTCCTAATATCTGGTAATAATCTTCCTTGGCCAAAGACGTGCTCGTGTGGAAAGAAGCAGTACAAACAAAAGGGTAACTTTTTGCTCCTGAAAAAAAAAGAAAATCACTCTGGGAATGTGCTCAACCAAAGGAAATTTTGAGTAAATGACCAGCTAGGATATACCAGCGAAGGAACAAATGGGCCACAGATATAGGGTCTATTTCCCTCTAAGCTCACTGGAGACTAAACTCAGTGTACTTCAAAAGTGCCAAAGGTGCCAGGCACTAGTGGCTCATGTCTGTAATCCTAGCTGCTCAGGAGGCAGAGATCAGGAGGATCACAGTTCAAAGCCAGCCCAGGCAAATAGATCATGCGAGACCCTATCTCAAAAAACCCTTCACAACAAAGAGCTGGTAAAGTGGCTCAAGGTGTAGGCCCTAAGTTCAAACCCCAGTACCACAAAAAAAACAAAAACAAAACAGAAGTGGCCAGAGTCCCTGGGCACTGGTGGCTCACACCTGTAATCCTATTTGGGAGGCTGAAATTAGAGGATTGTGGTTTGAGACCAGCCAGGGCAAATAGTTCATGAGACCTCCATCTCCAAAATAAGCAGAGCAAAATGGACTGGAGGTATGGCTCAAGTGGTAGATACCTGTTTGGAAACCATGAAGCCCTAAATTCAAATGCCAGTCCTACCGAAAAAAAGGCAACCAAAGCCACTGTGCTCAATTAACGAAACACAGTATCAGAGTTCTTACTGGGTGGCTGATTCTGCTGGCTTATACTACTACTGGTGTGATCTCGTACACCACTAAAGGAGTAATAAACACCCCAGATGGGCTGCATCTGGGGATGATGAAAAAGGGATTTGGCTCCTCTTCTTACAGTTCCATATTTCCGTATGCTTCTGTTTCACTCTTTAACAATTCCTGACATCCTTCTTCTGTAATGTAACCTTGGGGATCTGCTTTTGCAGTGCTTTTCAGAGTGTGGTCCCTGGACCAGCATTGTTGAAAATGCAAACTTTGCAACTCCATCCCAGACATGAATCAGAAATTCTGAAGGTCTCCACTCCGTGGATAACAGTAGCAATCTCCCCAACCCACATTGCTGACCAACACCAGTGCCTCCAGACACTGGCAACTAGCCTGTTGGGGGTGAGGGACACTTGTCTCTTTCTGTAAATCAATGACTAAACCTAAGGAATTCAGGTTATGTGCCTGGTAAGTGGCACAAACTTAGTCCCAGCTATTTGGGAGGCTGAGGCAGGAAGTGCGGGTGTGTGTGTGTGTGTGTGTGTGTGTGTGTGTGTGTGTGTGTGAATCACTTGAGTCGAGGAGTTTGAGACCAGAGTGGGAAACACAGAATCTGTGCCTATGTCTCAAAAAAAAAAAAAAAATTGTTGTGGAAGGGCTGGGGGCAGTGGTACCTCAGTGGCAAAGTCTAATATAAAAAGAAGTTGAGAAAAGGATTTCTAGGGCAACTGCTGTTAAGTTATAGAAACTGGCCAGGCTAAGGAAAGGTTTGAATCCATTCAGATTTACACCTGTGGTTCTGGTAATTTGCTGGTGTCCCCTTTGACTTTCAAAGTGCCTTATTTGGTCAGGAAGCTAAATTACAACTTCAGTTTGCAGAAGTTCAGATGAAAGTAAATATGGTAAGTAACATGTGCACGTAGTAATTGTGACTACTCTGACATAACTAAATTAGAGACTGTGAGTGTATGTGGTAGTAGATGGGTAGTTAGAGGTGATGAGGCCTAGGGATAAGCAGAAGGGCCTTATAGCTACTCAAGACTGGATCTTACCCCAAAGCCAAGAGGGAGCCATTGCCAAGTGTTAACAGGAAACTGATAAAATTACCTTTTTTCCTTTTCTTGGTAGGATTTCGTTTGAACTCAGGGCTTTGCACTTATAAAGCAGATGCTTTATTGCTTGAGCCACAGCTCCAGTACATTTTTCTCTGGTTATTTTGGAGATGGACTCTTGCAAACTATTTGTCTGGGCTGACCTCAAATCACATTCCTCCCACTCTCAGCCTCCCAAGTAGCTAGGATTACAGGCATGAGTCACCAATGCCCAGCTACAAATTCATTTTTTTTGTTTGTTTGTTTCCTTCCGGTGCTAGGGATTGGACCCAGGGCTTCACACATTATAGGCAAGCGCTCTACCACTAAGCTACATCCTAGCCCTCAAGTTAGCTTTTGATAAGAACAGATAATAATAACTATACTTGATCTTAGCCAAAAGGCCAAGAAGCAATGATCAAGTGAGCTTTTTAAGGAGGACTGGGAGAGTATTTAAAGTTAATGAAAACACAAAGGGGCAGCAAGAGGAATTGAGCATATCCACAAAGGGGACAAGATAAGGGTTAAGCAAGGAAATAGTAGGAATGGTAAAAATAAGATCAGAAACAGGAAGCAAATCTATGTTTTTGGCATACCCAATACATCTGCAATAGGAAAGGCAGACTGTGGAAGTAGTGGAGGTTAGACCATTATGTGTTTCTTCAGTCAGACTTGGGGAGACATTAGAATTAGTTTTTTAGAAATCCTGTACTCAACCTCCTCTTTACAGGGAAGTGAGGGATTACCCTCACTAGCCTTTTCTCCTGGATCATTCCAATGCCAGAAGGCTGAGGCTAGTGGTGGCAAAGGCTCTGGAAACTGTGGCTTCAACTTTGTTAGCAGAGAACTTTGACTTGATTTAGAATGGCAGACAATAATGTGAAAAACTGAATGAACAAAGACAAATCACATTTAACAAATATGATGACTTCTGACATCCAAAGGTATCAATGATTACCAATGATTAGGAAGAGTTTGTTCAACTTTTTTTTTTATCCAAGTTATGACCAGTAAATGTTTAGCCCCTTTAGAATCCAAGTCATCTGAAGGATGGTCAAACCAGTGTCAAGTAACTGACTTCTACTTGGGAAAAAAAAGTCATATTTAAAGTGTTGTTTTTATGTCTGCTTGTTCTATCAGATTTTAGACAAGATTAGACTCATATTTGGGAGCTGAGATGATGACTATAAGATGTGACAGCAGAGCACACCTTGAAGGATACTAACTCTCACAAGTGAATGGCACTTAATGTAAAACATAACCACTTGAAGGGTATGGGCTGGCTTATAGAAAAGGATAGCTGACTGCAGTTTCTTAGTAAGGGCCTTAGTCTTACAGAAGGCTTAGGACTTGGTGCTTATCTCAGTCTGTGTCTCTTACATACCCAGACACTAGTATAAAAATGCTCTGGGCCTGGGAGTGTAGCTTAATGGTAAAGCATTAGCTTAGCATTCATAAGGGCCTGGGTTCAATCCCCATAATGTAGAGGAACAAAAGTTGCTTCACATACTTGTACAGATGTAATAAATTTAGTTTAATAAGTGGTAGCACATGCCTGTAATCCCAAAACTTGGGAGGCTGAAGCAGGAGGATCTCAAGTTTGAGGTCAGCCTGGGTATGTAGTGAGTTCCAGGCTAGCCTGGAGTACATCATGGTGAGACTGTGTCTCAAAAAACTAAACAAGAGCTGGGCACTGGTGATTCACGCCTGTAATCCTAGCTACTTGGGAGGCTGAGATTAGGCTGATCATGGTTCAAGGCCATTCTAGGCAAATAGTTCATGAGATCTCATCTCCAAAATAACCAGAGCAAAATGGACTGGAGGTGTGACTCAAGTGGTAGAGCATCTGCTTTGCAAGTGTGAAGCCCTGAGTTCAAATCATAGTACCACAAAAAAAAATTAGCTTAAAGGAATTTTAAAATTAGCTTAAAGGAATGTTACTCAAGGAATATATGAACAAAAAGATGCAGCAAATCCTATTTAATGCAATCCTGATATTAGAAAATATTAGCAAGTCCTAAAAATGGCCAGCCTGACCTCTATCCAAATAATCCCGAGGAAACCTAAACAGACCACTGCTCCATCCAAGAGGAATACAGATGGCAGTAATGGAATTTAAAAACATGTTCCCTTAACCAAAGCCCCCCCATCCCTGTTCTGCTAGCCTCAATGCCTACAATGGTAGCTGGCATAGGACACGCCTCAATGCCATCAAATGAATGTTGACAGTTAAGAGGGGCTCAATGGGCCGGGCACTGGTAGCTCATGCCTGTAATCCCAGCTACTCAGGAGGCAGAGATCAAAAGGATCATGCTTCGAAGTCTGCCATGGGCAAACAGTTTGAGAGACCCTATCCCAGAAATTCCCAGTACGAAGAAGGGCTGGAAGAGTGGCTCAAGCAGTAGAGCACCTGCCTAGCAAGAGGCCCTGAACAGCCCCAGTACCACAAAAAAAGGGGGAGCAGGTTCAA